CCCTGTGACTTATGATCTTCAATGAAACTGTTTTGTATTTCTTTATTACTCCTTTGTCTCACACCTCTGCTCACTGTTTCTATTATGCTTTTCTTGTACTTTCTTCTCTTGCTTCGCGTGCTACACGGAATGTGGCGACTTGAACTTCCGCACATTTGTGCAAAGTTCTATGTCGAAAACAGACAGACAGACTATGCCAGCTAACATTGGGCTGTCGAGAAAGGCAATGGTTAGGCATACGTAACAGGTGTTTCAACGATTTTAAATCAATGAAGCTTAAAAAACCCACCGCCTGATTTTCCCTCACCTAACACTCGATGCTTAACCTCAGTATTACTCACCATATTAAACTATTTAACACATTAAAATGAACGCAAATGCCTGTGATCGGACAGTTAGCCTTTTCATGTCTTCCACTTTCATTGGCCATGTCTCACAGACATAAAGGGGGATAAAGCAAACTACTGAGCAGTATAGACTTCCTTTGATTGACGGTCGGACAACACGTCCATGCAAGAGATGATGCAGGTTGGGATATGCTTCACGAGCCTTTTGTATCCATGTTGATATTTCGTAAACGATCAACCCGTTGGAACTGATGTAACTTCCGAAATAAGCGAAATGGTTAACACGCTCTACCACTTCACTCCCTATACTTAAGGTAGGAAATAAATGTCGAAAAATCAGGGAAAACACTAGAGTATTATTCATCTGGAAAACCTACACTTAGGAATTACGATCGCTTTCTTAATCACTCCCTTTTTTACTGCAAAATAAATGATTTAACTTAAAGTCAAAATAACACATTGGTGTCAATATTGTACCAGGTTTTGTGTTTTGAATAAAATAATAGGAAAATATTATGTTGGAAACCAGTTTACTAGATGTAATCATATTTCACTATTGAAATAAGTATATAGTGGCTCTCAGTCTCATGTACATATAAACAAACAGATGCACCAACTTGCCACGACTCGAAAAGTAGGCGAAGGAGAATACACATATAGCATACTAATGCAACGAACTCCGACCAATAGTTGCTATCTTGATATGGAAAACACTAAACCATCCGGAATGTGGGAGGCAGTATGTTAGTGAAGACAATTTTTTTTTTACTAAGACTTGAAGGCGTTAATAAGTATTATCTTTTATGGGGACAATCACGCCAGACCTCCACAGTCTGATTGTTAATACTATTTCTTAACAATTAAATCAGTTGGCTATTTTTACATAACTGTCTTTTCAAATTATCAAACCTGTCCATCTCCCTCCTTAGAGGTTATTTAGAGCCCTGACCTTAGGAACAGTCCTTAGTTTCCTATTTCAACTACAAATCAGTAGTGAACAAGAGAAGTAGTCAGAGGTCAGTTAGTGTTCCCTACTTTGTTCGATTCTTTGCCTCTTTTATAAGTGGACCGCAGTCAAATCATACTTTCATATAAAGCTTTTTTGTTAATTCTGACGCTATTCGTGACCACTGCCTTCAGTCTCTTCAGCATTCATCTCTCACCGTTAGAATGATCGCTATCTAAGCTTTCAGTTATCTAACTTAAATCTGTTTTATCTTTTCACTGTGATTGGAGTTTGCTGAAACGTGATTTCACTAATCCATTGCTTCGGACTAGACCACTAAGATCATCTAGTCTTCTGTAAACATTTTCCTAAAGGTCATTCGATCTCTGAGGCTATCTTTACAGCGATTACAAAGTGGCGTCTGTTTTTCCGTGACTAGTTCTCTCTTGAGTTTGTCTCTAGTACCGTTATCTTCAAAACAAGTCACTGAAGAATCCTCCAATCGAAATTAAAATCAAGCCAGCACGTTAGTAGTCTTTGGGCACACACTTTCATATGAACAATTTTTTTTGATTCATTTACGTTCCCAATTGAACATACGGCTTCAAGCTCGAGAATTGAAGTTTCGGTAGCAGTGGTGTTTATTTTTACGGGGTGAGGTTGGCTAACCTCATGCCCAACCTTCTCTCTTATTAGTAGCTTAGCGAGGTAAAGGAGTACGTCGGTCGGGGATCCCACCCCGAACCACCTGCGTGGTCGGCGAGCATTCTACCACTGTGCCATCGACGCAAAGCCGCTTGCGACCGCCGGGAGTGGAACCCGGATCGACTGCTTAGAAGGCAGCCATGATAACCGTCGCATGAATAACTTCGGCTTATAGTAATTTGAAAAGGTATAGAACACGTATTTCACTATCTAGACTACTGGTTATCAGACTATAGATATCTTTCTTGTATCACTATGAGATACTCACAGGATGGTAGAGTTACAGCTTTCTGCAACAACTATTAGTTTACTGAGTGGATTTCCTTATAGTCTCACGTAATTACCTCGTGCTGTACCTTATATATGCTACGAATCTTAAATATGACCATTCAACTTTCTTTTGAAGATTTAACAGTTATTAGTCGACCCTATTCTTCGCTTCTTTAGGATTATATTTATTGGAGTGTAATTCTGGACTAAAAAAGACACGTGCAGTGTATTATAAATCGTTTACTATTTTCTCTGTTTGACAAGAGCTTGTTTTAACTGTGTAATATTTTATAAAAGACATTATAGTTAGAAGTGCATGGGAAACACACTTGATAGGATTTTTGTCGACTAAATGATTTTCTAGAAAAATGTATATTAATAATCGTGTATAACATCCGTCTGGGGCATTGACTAACTTGACCTTGTGTGAAAGTATTAATTTGACTAACGGATGTCCGAAATAGTAACATAGTTATAACAGTCAGGTAACTCGGTTGTTCAAACAATAATTCGTGATAGTTTTCTGATTCAAGTTGTGTTATTCATTCATATCTAGTTTACAAATCCGTAAAATTGTCTTATCACTTGTGGTATCTGGTTGGTCTTAAGTTAGATTATTATCACCTTTTGAAGAGGGGAACGTGTATATGTTGAAAACACTTGGTTATTGCTTGCATGTAAACAGTGGTAAATATATGCAAGCCAAATTATGAGTGTTCTTTATGTTAAGACTTGATATTATGATGTTTAGGTATCGTTGGAGGGTTGGCTTAATATCAATTGTTCATCAATTTGAGCACTTCCTTGACAGTTAGACGGTGATTTCACTGATTGTAGAAATAAGCGTGACATGGACGAGATGAAAGATTATGGGCAATCGTGGATCCAGCTGAAGAGGACGGCAGCAAATTGAACAAAGTGATGTGTTGTTGAAGCCCTATGTTCCGCTCGGGACCTATAGGAATAATAATACCCAGTGAGTCATGAAGAAAATAAAAGACAATGCAGCGAAGAAAAATTTCGTTATCGGCGAAATCATCTTCAGAGGCTGTACAGTCGTATTTATGTCTACCGAAAATGTACAATAGTCTATTATTGAGCAATAGGGGATGGATGATATAATTGATACAATTACTCAGAAGTAGCTTTAGAAGTAAAAATAAAAGTTATAAATTATGTAGCACCGAACTGCACAAAGTAAGAAAGGGTTAGAAATTTGATAAGATGAGAATTGTTGTTTTTTGAGAATAAAAGTAGTTGAGTGTCAATTTAACAAATGTGAAAATGTTTAAAAGGAACATATGCGAGCGATAATAGTCAGTTAATTAATAAAGTTCATGCATTTATTCTCCTTGATGAATTTGGATAAAGCAAGAACAACAGTGGTGGTTTGTGCGGAATAATATGGTACCATCATTTATTTTGTTGGCTTCTCATCAGCTGCTTACAGCCTAAATAAATGATGAGGTTAAATACAGAAACGTTTTAACGTACTTACAAATTTTACATGCTTTCAGTTGACAGAATGTTTCACAATTAGTAAACAGTGGTCAGAAAATTGCGCTTATATAGTTTTTACACAGGCGGTTCAAGTTAAAACAAAATTAATGTATGCATATAATGGTAAAGGAGTTACATAATAAAGATGAGATATACGTTAAATGCATAGTGACTAATAAGTTAGGTAACAATGTACTGAGTTGAACTCAAATCATAGAAACAAAGAGACAAGCAAAATTACAGATTATAAAAGGAGGGTGAGGTTAAAGACAAAGATTACGTAATCAAATGAGAGAAAAAAAGGTATCCAGTTACCAAGGTAAGGAAAGACTAATAACTGCTTCTTTCTGAACACATAAATCTGGTTTCAAGCGTTTGATAGAAATTGCTTCGGCAAACTTGGGGATAATGGAGCTCCTTTGTCTATTGATAATTTTGAAGGATTTCTCGATTTCCACCTCATGACCCGTGTCGAGATGTCTGGTAATAGCGCTACTATAAGAGTTTGTTCCCTTGAGACGTAGGCATTTCTCACATGTTCAGAAAATCGCAGGTGTGCCCTTCTTTCTGTTCTCCCAATGTAACTGCTTCCGCAGATACACGTAAATTTGTATACACAGTTGTAGTTAACATGAGAAGGGTATCTATTGACTTTTGACTGCATCAAAGAGCATCTTGTTCGATGAACGGGAACTAACTTAGCTGCAGGATAGGCTCTGGCTAGTGACGTTCTCAGTCTTCTGTTGACCATTTCTGCAATGTCTTCACCTTTAAAATCTAGTTGAATGAAGATAGGCTTTTTTCCAACTGTGATTTGCTTCGTATTTGAGCCTTCACATCTTCCATATTTGTTAAAGAATCTTTGAGGATAGCCGTTGTTTTTCAGCACCTTTTCGAGATTTGTAAATTCTTCCTCTAGTTTCTCTGCAGAGCATATTCTCCTCGCTCTATAGTACAGAGTCTTGAATAGTGCTGGTTTATAAATATTTGGACAAAAACTATTAAAATGTAAGTATTGTCCATTCCATGTGGGCTTTCGGTAGATTAACCTCTGGAGACTACCATCTTCTAGGCGTTGCATAGCGATGTCAAGTCTCCAACTAGTAAAAACATAACTAGCCCTTACAAGCCAAACTATAGAAAAACCTCATATTATTATTATTGTTATTATTGTGATACAAACAACCTTCAGATACCTTTTTACATGAATGTTTTTTTGAATTATATTTCAGAAAGAGAAGAAAGGCAAAGATCGTAAGAAGCGCAAACGAAAATGTTGCATACAATGAATGATCTCTCGTTATAATATCTGACGCGAATAGTGTTCTGTCTGAATAATACCTGAAATCAGATACATCAAGAAGAGCTTTTCGATGATAATGCTAGTTATTATATTTGTGTATGCTGGACTCTTTTTCACTGTCCGGTTTTCACATTATTATTATTTTTCCTTTTCTCATCTGATTTAGCATAATTCTGCATCTGCTGTGGCAGTTTTTTCTCCACCGGAAAGTTACTTTTTGTTCTTTTCTAGTTTTTCTTTTGGTTATGTTGTCCACGAACGCGCGCGCGCGCACACACACACACACACAGAGACACATACAAGCGCTCTGAAATCTAGTTTGTTTGCACTACTCTTTTATTTTGTATGACTTATGGTTCTTTTCAGTTTTTTCTGTGAAGTCTAATGAAGTCCAATGAAGCCACTTTTTTCTTTTTAGAAAAATGAACCAGCGAACAAACAAACAATAATTTGAAATAGTTCTGCTTTACCCAACTTTTTTTTGTTTTTTAATGTATTGTATTTTTTTAAAAAGTCTGATCGCGTTTTGTAAATTCATTCGCCGCCATGAGACAGACAACTTGATCTCTTTTCTGTCAGTGTTTTTCTTACTGATTTGAGCCCCACCGCGCCCCCCGCCCCGAACCTTCAAAAAAAATTATAATTAAGTAATATGAATTGAATAATGGCATTTTCTTTTGTTCTCATGGCTACAATATATATATATATATATATATATATATATATATATATATATTGGCTTCATGTTTAAAGCCTTAAAGGACATCAATGTTTTCAGTGATTGACTTAATCTCTGTGTGTACATATATTTCTCTTTACTTCTTCTGTTATTTGTTTGTTTGTATTTTTTAATACTTTGGTTGCTTTTCTGAATAACTTAGCTACTAAAACACTTTGGCAAAAGTTTAATTGACTGCAACAATCTACCTATCAAAGCTTTTATATACACACACATTTATATATTTTGTCTTTTATTCAAAATAAAAATATTTCTCTTCCTAATTTTCAAAAGTTGTTGCACAACCAAATATTTATCAAATTATTATTTGGCTCGTAATATAAGTTTTTATTGTTTTCCTATTTGGTGATTTCATACGTGTGTGTGTGTGTGTGTATGCTAATGTATAATTCAAATACAACAACAATTATGCTAATGTGTTTTTCATTTTTTATAGATTTCGAGTTGTTTTTCTTTCTTTTTAAAGAATTCTCCTTTATTATTATCATTATTATTATATCCTTTAATTCCTAGAGGAACATATAGGGCTTCAGCTGCACGTCTTCATTGCCTTCGGTTTTCTTCCAACTTTTTCACCCCGCTCCAAGTCTACACACATGCTTTCATCTCCTCCTCACATGACCTCCTCCAAGTCACCCTTGCACTGACAACCAACACGCCGCTTCGCGTTCGGGTTTCACTCGAGCGATGGCTTGTCTAGTGATGTCACTTGATGCATTGTTGCCTCAGCGTATGGCCAATCCATCTCCATTTCATCTTGCCTATTTGTTTCACCGTCGGTTCCTGCTGTGTTGGTTCGCTCATTACCAGAGATCCCTGTTGCTGATCTTTTCTGGCTGGCTATCTCATCTTGAGTATTAAGCGAAGACAACTGTTAATGAGTGTCTGAAGTTTGTTTGAGATGCTCTTCATGATGCCTTGGCCAAGTCTCTGATCCGTATAGTAAGTAGCCCTGACTTCACATTGGAGTTGAAAATCCGGATCTTATTTTCATTTTTATGCTGAGTGTTGTTGACCTCCACACAGACTTAAGAGTAATGAAAGCTTGTCTTGCTTTTCCGATTCTTGCTTTGATATCCTCATCAGTTCCGATGGCCTGTAGTTGAAACGATGCTTCCCAGGTGGGTGGGTAGGTAAAGGAGGTTGTTTCTTTCAGGTTTCTCTCATTTATACTGGCTGATTGTTGTCTGTTATTGTAGCTGTTGGTGTTGGCCAAGAATTTTCATCACCTCTGTTTTATCTATGTTCACTTGAAGTCCTATCTTTGATGCTTGTTCTGCCAACTTGTTGCTTTTCACTTGCATATCTTCCAGTTTGTGGGAATTGTTCTTCACTTGAAAGTGGATAGTGAATTCCACGAAGTGTAGGAGTCATTCTACAGAGGTCACACAAATTCGTCAGGCGTTAACAACCCACCCCCTTCACATTCTCATGTATTCTCTTCATTAACACGTTGACATCTCATAAAAATTTTTAAATTAGGTATGAAGATTTAACATAATGGATTAATTTGTACTATGTTACAATAGAGGCGTTGGTGGTTTAGGGGTTAGGACGCTCGCCGACCATGCATATGGTCCGGGGTTCGATCCCCAGCCGCCAACGCACTCCTTTACCTTGCTGAGCAAGAAATAAAGCTGGTAAAGAGGAAAGGTTGAGCATGAGGCTAGCAGCGCCATCCTGTAAAATGAACACTGCTACAGAAACTTCAAGCCATTAGCTTGGAACGTGAAGGAATAAAAAAAACGTTACAATTGTCTGTATTTAATAGAAGTAGATGCAGGTCGGATTTGAGTTACGGTTTACATAAGGGATTATGGATCTTGAATACTGTTGACCACTGGTTTTTGAAAAAAAAATCAGGTAAGGATTTTTGGATGTTCTTAAATGGTGTTTGTTTATTGACCACTTAGCCCTATACTAGAATTTCATGATCCGTGAGGATTTAGGATGATGAATCAGTGCCACTTACGTTCAGTAGTAACAGCAGTAGAGAGTTTGATTAGGAGGCAAGCACGCTATGCAGCGAATGGGGTGGAATTTAATGCTACATTATTCTATAAGAATTTTTCTTTAATTGGAACGTTGTGTGCTCTAATGATCTTGATTACTATAAGATTATTTTTTGAAGTATTTTGTTATTTTTATTTTGTCCCTTTACGTTGCGAGTGGAACATACGGCTTCAAGCTAGAACTTTAAAGTTTCGGTAGCACTGGTGTTTATTTTTATGGGATGGCGTTCCTAGCATCATGCCCAACTTTTTTACCAATCGTATTACAGGCTTAGGTGAAGGATTGAGTCGGTGGTCGATGTCGAACCCTGAACCACATGAGGCGTGGTTGGCGAGGATTCCACCGCTGTGCCACTGACGCGTCATTTTTTAAAGTTATATGAGTAAATTAATTCTGAATCTATAAATCCAACTGCTGCAACCTCATATCTCAAAAAAATTGTGATTCGATTAGGTAAAATGGAAAACAGGTGGCATTGAGTCATTTTTAGCGTCATTCAAGTTTTTTTATTTCTCCATTGAGATCCAGCGATATGCTAGAAAAATTAGTTTTATAGACAAATGATTATTTTGAAGAATTGTGTTCTCGAATAGAGAAGTAACTTATGACAGCTGGGATACAGACATCCCTGATGAGTAGAAGTCTCTTCCCAATAGTATCATTATTTTACTGCCAATTTTAGTTTTTTAATGACCTTCATGTAATTGGCTTCGTAATCGAATGAATTTAGAGTTGTATTCTGCACGGATATATGAGGACTCTTTTCTTGAAGTAGTATTTTTTTGCCATCCTAAGATGAGTTGTGGGTGTTGTAAAACAAATGGGAAATTCCTTTCACATTTTGACAAACAAGTCCACATGATATGAGTTATTGGTTTCCAGACAAGTTTAATTATTTGTGAAGTAAATCTTGCCTTCAACTTTTGTAAATTTGAATGAAGTAAGAAGAACTAATTTCAATGTACTCATTCCGCATTATTCTCAACTGCTTACAAACTAAATAATATCGAAATATAAATTACAGCAAAGTTTAAAGTAACTTTTATCATCTTCATAAATAGTGATTGAAAGGAACCACACTTATAGCAGGTCGAAGGTGAGGACAGTTACACATCGAAAACACTGCTAAGTAGTCGTGAATAGGCAGAAGTTAGAATTCATGGGCCATTGGATCACGTCTCAGTGGCTTAATGGTCTACGAGCTTACCTTGCAGCCAGTAGGTCCTGGGTTCGAACTCCGGTGAGTGCGTACTCATAAAGAGTCTCAAACTAGTGGGACGAAACAGCTGCTAAGTAGTCTCCGCTGGTCTCAAATGGTTCTCTAACCTATGTCAGCTCATGATGAAATCCTCCAACCAATCAAACAAAATCCCTACAAACCAATACTAGAAAATATAGCATAAGTCAAGAATGATGCAAATGGTAAAGTTAGATGAAATAATGAAGTACTGTGAAAAATTGTCTGTTTCTATAATAATCAAATGACTGTTCTTGGAAATTGGGAGTTGAAAATATAGGTCGAAATAAAAGTAGTATGCTAGTTTAAGAGATTATGAAGGTCAGGATTCTAAGACGTAATTCCCGCGGTTCTTTTAGTAAGATCTTTATAAATAGGAACAATACGTTAAACGAAATCATGGGTTTATTTAATATAATTTCAACTGTTAGATTTCGTCATGAAGTAACGTCGTTTTAGAAGAATTATTGAAAATGAGGGAGCACTGAACCTATGAATTTTAACTTTGTCAAATCGGTCATTAAACTCCAGGTTAGTGTCGTAACCTGAAGGTCGCGAGTTCGACCTCTGGTGGTGGAGTTGTGGGTGCTCGCTGCCAGAGAGTCTCAGAACAGGACGAAACAGCTTCTCAGTGCTCTCCGGTATTCAATGATCTCTCTAACTGATGTTGGGGTCATTCACTTCCAGTCCAAGTGTGGTTCCCTAACGTATATGTTCCTGGTTCACACTACTGAGGAGTCCAGAAATAGAACTAAAGAGATGTTCGGTACCCCCTGGTTTCCATTGGTCCCTGTGCGTCGGTGGCATATTGTTTAGGATTGTCGCCGACCATGCGCATGTTCCGGGGTTCGATCCCCTGCCGATTCAAACCTGATATCAATGGTCAGCCTGCAAAATTTGGGCTACTGATATCACATGCTGAAAATTCCATACTTCTACCAAAAAAGGTACTCTGTGTAATCAAGCTGTAATCAAAAAAAGAAATTTAAAAAAATAA